TCTTCTACCTTCTGCTGGAGGAAGTAGTCAGCAACGCATGTCAGGAATCTGTTGGAGGAGCCATGTTTGGCAGAACTTGTCTCCCAGAATATATCAGGGAAATTGAAGTCCCCCATGATTGAAACTGAAGTCCTTTCAATCTTTTTGGAAACGCTGGCAAGTTGCTTTTCGACAGTTACATTCTGGTTCTGGTTCTGATTGTGTGGTCGGTAAGAGATGTGTCATCTGTTCCCATGTGGATGAGAAGGAAGGGTATTTGTCAGTGGGTTGTCTGAGATGTGTGAACTCATTGGTTATATCATTAAGCTTGGCTCCAGGGAGACAGCATACTTAGGGATTCTCTGGGTTGTCATGACATACCTATTTTTCCATCTTGCATTGCAGGAGATCTGCCACAATTATCACTCTTCTCCTTTTGTTGTTGAAAACTTCGATATCTTTTTCCTTACTTTATTGGGCTTTTGTCTCTATCTCATGTAGTTCTTTCTCAGCGGGTTTCTCACTCCTCTCTTCCTCAAATAACTTAAAATGGTTTGAGAGTCCCACTGCTTCCATTGGTGCAGTGTCTTCTAGTTCTTCCTTATCCGTCACCCTGTTTCAGGGAGTTTCCTCATTTACCTTTCCCCTATCTTGATCTATCCACTACAGCAGACACAAAAAATTTGTAACCTAGATGTTGTTACACTCCAGCTCCTATCAGCTGCACCAAGCATGGTCATTAGTCAGGGATGCTGTAGTCCAGCAACACAGGGAAGTTCACAGGTTTCCCACCTTTGTACCAGAGGTTTAAAGAACTGTCCTGATTCTACTCAGTTGTCTAATCATGCTGAGTATTGTTAAGGAACATATGCCCCACAGACAATTTCCAGGCATTACAGGAAGGTTAATTTCAGCTATCTGTTGTAATTACCCCAGAACCATTAGTAAAAGTGATGGCATTTCTTGTGGCCTTTGCACTACCCCGTAAATGATGGGACATTCAAACTAGAATCCGAACCTCTAAAGTCATTCAAGCAAAGAAAATGAAGCTGGAAGAAGAAGGACAGAAAAAAAGAAACACTCTAAAAAAAGATACATAGAGTATCAGCAGAATAATAAGCAGAGTTTCAAACAGTAAATTTGAACAAAAATGACTGATTTAGAAACACAGAAACAGCAAGTCGGAACAGGCCTCCTGAGCCATCTAGTCTGACCCCCAGTTTGGCTTTGAGTTCCTGAGAAAATCAGAGTAAAATATTCTTGAATAAATAAATGCACATAATTTCCTTGCATGAAACCAATTTTTCATTTTATATATAATTGTGTCTATTGTTATGGCTGAACTGGTCTAAATTGTCTGATATGAGAGTGCTTTGCAATTAAACTTGACTTCACTGAGAGAAGTCATAAAAAAAGTTAATGACAGATTATTAGTATAAAGAATTTTATATAACCCAGGCACCAGTGGCTCTGTTATGTTTTGTTTGCCATTTTGCCTGATGAAAATTTTTAGACAACTCAGAAGGTTACACAGTATTTTATAACCTTGAAGTTCACCTAATTAAGACAGTATGCTAACATGAATTTAGCTTTTTTTCTTTTTCTTTTGGCCAAAACGGCTATTTTCACTTTTTGTATTATTTTGTTATGAACAGGACTCTGCAATTTTTCCAACTTGTCTCCTCCCATATATTTCAGGAATCTTTCAATCCCTTCACAACCATCTTTGGCAGGAGAGAATTTAGATATACTTGCTTTGAATGGCATGTGGCATGCATCTTGTTCTTACACTCATGAATCTGTAATAAGGAGTGAATGAACTGTAAACATTTTAGGATGATTGCTATTCTAAGTATTGACATGAAAGGGCCATAATGAGCAGCTCCCTGTGAAGTGTCTACTTAGAATTTCAGGGAAAACATCAAGCTGCTACTGGACTTCCAGAAACAGCCTACATCCCTCTCAAGGTTGCAGCACTTGGAAGCTCCCCAGAATGCGCTAACAGAAGTGTTCAAACATAAAGCTTAAATAATATAAACTAATTTTAGCATGCAGTATTATGTAAAATACCTCCATGACTGTGCAACACAAACATTTATAACCCTACTTAGGCTCATTATAATTCTCTCTGACAGGAGCCAATTAATTTTTTTATTAGTTTTCTGTGTGTTTTCCCTGTGTTTTTATTACTAACTGGTGTTTAAAACCCTCTCAAGGTTGCAGCACTTGGAAGCTCCCCAGAATGCGCTAACAGAAGTGTTCAAACATAAAGCTTAAATAATATAAACTAATTTTAGCATGCAGTATTATGTAAAATACCTCCATGACTGTGCAACACAAACATTTATAACCCTACTTAGGCTCATTATAATTCTCTCTGACAGGAGCCAATTAATTTTTTTATTAGTTTTCTGTGTGTTTTCCCTGTGTTTTTATTACTAACTGGTGTTTAAAACAAGAGAAAGTGAGAGAATAGATCCTATTTTCTTTTTCTTTTTAAACTTTGTTCTGTCAAATATAACAGCCCAGATAGTTTAACAGCTATTACCTATCAATGAAAGAAAGAGATTAAATGTTATATTTCAAGCTCTGGCATTTATAAATACCTTTAAAATGCCATTTGGAAGATATAATTCAATATTTTTTGTTTTGAAGCAGGGCTCCAATATGTCATTGATATATCCTTACATCAATTATGATGATGATGGTCATCAGAAGTTAAAAAGGAGTCCCCATTTCAGGGTCAACCAGGGATATTTTGCTACCTGAGGCAAAGGACAAGATAGTACTCACACACATCCCTCCAAGACTGACAGTTGAATCTTACTTCAATAGTAGTGATGGAGAGTGTTCTCCATCACACCTGAAGGCAACAAACTACCTTAAGAGATGCTGGATATTCCCTGGTATCTGTTCTGATAGTAGCCACCCCACTTTTTCTAATTGTAGGGCCAGCAGATTTCTGAATTTACTTTCTGTCTGTTTAAAGGACAGGATTTTTCTTTTCAAATATAAATATGTTTATGATACACATCCATATCTGATCATCATTATGTGCTTCTTAGAAAAGACATGCCCCTCACACCAGCAGGAATACATACAGGAGTCAGGAAGATGTATTTCCTATATTGTGACACTATTGCATCTTCTGCAATACAGAGAAATAATGCTTTTCTCTTCAAAAGCATTATTTTTATGTATATGTAATTTTACTCAGATTTAGTTAAACATCTAAAATGCAATTAAAACTACAACTGACTATAATTTCATTGGGACACAGTACTTTGCTAAATCTACGTGGCCTAGCTAGTTACTAGTTGAAGGTGCTGGTGATAGAAAACATAAAGAGGATAAATAATAATGACCTTCATATAGATTTTCATCAGTGTAACTTAGTTGCAATTTTTCAGGGGATTCATCTTTGGTAGGAATTAGAGTTGGGGTTAGGGTCAGTAGGGATTAGCCAGTATATTTGCCTGCCACCTGTTTTGCTCTCTTCTGACTCGGGGAGAACAGGGTCCCTGACTATATTTTTTTTAAATGTTTTTCTAATTTAACCCACTCCCCAGCAGACTAACTGCTACCTCCATTTCATTTCATATATTATAAAAATTAACAGTGTATAATATACTTCATTTATACTCATATCCCCTCCAGAAATTCATATATTCTTCAATATGCTTACACCGTTTACTTTCCATCAATACTACTTTTACAAAATCTTCACATATTACATTATATTTATTTACTTTTAATATCCCTTTTTAATTTTTATTTCTGTTGTCAATTTATCATTAATTACCATAATCCATAATTTGTTATACCATTCGTTCCTTTGCATAACCCAATTGTTTCCAATATTTAACCACCACTAACCTGGCTGCCCTTATCAAATTTAAAATCAATTCTTTCTTAACTTTATTTATATCTTGTTTTTCAGTCAACAAAAATAAGACAATTCTTGGTGACATTTCTAAATTTATATCTAAAATTTCTCTAATTTCATTAAACATCATGTTCCATATCTTTTGTATATAATCACAGTCCCACCACATATGTTTGTAAGTTCCAATCTCTTTCCCACATCTCCAACAAACATTAGAATATTTATCATCCATTTGGTTTAACTTAACTGGTGTTAAATATCATCTCCATATCACTTTATACCCATGTTCTTTAATTATAACCGACATGTTCTTATATACTCTTCCATTTGATCTCTAAAGATAGCCAGGGTGCAACACTACTTTCCAAACACATTCAGAGGTCAGTTTAGGAACACTGCTGACTTTGCATACATGCATACATGACTTGCACTGCATACATGACTTGCTAATTATGGAAGCTTATGATGCTGCCTGAGTTACTTTGTGGCTCAGTCCAGTCTAAGGGATTGGTCCCATCTTTCTCCTTTATTGTGCTAAGCTTGCCTTTCCAAATTAAAAGATGCGTTCATAAGCAATGTGTGGATTTGCAGACAATGATCATCCCTTTATTAAAGAGAGATTTAAAGATAAAATGAAAATGACCCCAGGCTCTTTAGCAGTCAGTGGCAAAGCCCGTCAAACACTGCCCCTTGTTCTGGCCATACTGCTCATAAAGGTACTGACCAACTGCTAGCATTTATGACTTAGCACTAGTGGAAACCTGGTTCCAAACTATGCATAATAAAAGAATCCGATTAAAGTTGTGTTTTGAGCAGTTGGACAAGACATATTACACTTCTGAATTTCTTTGGGCAACAGTTGCATGTTATGTCTGCACAACCAACTGTGCCTTATGCATGTACAAGCAGCTGCACAACCACTTGCACAATGGAAATATCCAACAGAGCATCATTAGTACTGTTTGAGTTTGCAGGATGAAATAATAGAATTGAAGATTAGAATGTTTTGTTGACATCAAAAATTAAAATACTACTTCAACTGCAAATGTATTGTGGTAAATTAGACAAACATTTGTCATGCAATTAAAAGTTTTCAACTGTTAACTATGTTTGTAAACTAATCCATGGGGCTTACCTATTCTGTGGGGCAGCATGTTCTTGAAGGAGTATTTGATGAACTCCTATTTCACATCCCAATATCTCAATTCTTCCCACAGGACTGAGCAGCACCACACACATCTTCTCACACTGAATTTTTACATCCTTGAAAGAATTCTGTAGAAGAGGCAAGCAAAGTTGTATGATTATATTGTTCACCACTCTGAAACCTGTCTACATATAGAGTGGCATACAAATGTTCTAGATAACTGAATATTTGTGCTTGTTAGCACGCACGCACGCACACAACTTCAAATAAGATTTACTTCAAGAATGTTATCATTGGCCCCATTAGGAAAAAAGAAGCTATGCTTATAAATATGGGCAGTTGGCCTGGTATTTATCAATATTTTTATCATGCTTTTCTGCTATGAGACACTAAATATTACTAAATAATAACAATTTTGTTAACAGCCCAGATAGCCTTGGGCTATTGAGCAGTATTAAAAAGGAAATAAATAAATAAATAAATAAATTTGAAAGCCAATGTAGCTGTTAAGAGCATCTGTTTGGGATTCAGGCGATCTGGGTTCCAGTCTATGCTCAGCCATGGAGCCAACTGGGTGACTCTGGGCCAAAGACTCTCAGCCCAATCTAATTCACAAGGTTGTTGTTGTGTGAATAAGACTGAGAGCAGGAAGGGGAAAATGTAAGCTGCTTTGAGTTCTTTAAAAAAGAAAAAGGCAGGATGTAGTTCTAATAAATTATACACACATGCACACACACATATGTATAAAATACAATAATAATGAACTTCAGGAATACAATAATATCATTAACTCTTGATATAATTTCTTAAAATCAATACACAGGGATAGCAATTAAATAAAACCAAGGAAATGTGCTGTGAATACACTTCCATTGTGAATATTCCCAACCTGCAAGTCTGTTCCTTAAGATGCAACTTCATCTAAAACTAGTATATATCATAGTTTTAGGTCAATGGGCCCATCCACTATCATATTCTATATTCTGTCTGGATTATATATCAGCTTATTTCTCCTGGTACATTCTAGTGATGACCAGCAGCAGTCACTGGGATGCATGTAGGCAATTCAAATTGTAGAGTATAAAATCGCAGAGTATATCAAGAGTAGAAAAAATGCACTATGAGATCCAAAAGTATCAAAGACCATACTGCGTCTTTATCTTACCAGTATAGGTCACCAACAAGGATAATCAATGCAGATTCTATTATGAACTCACTTGAAAGTCAGATTGCAATGAATCTCTGTAACTTTTTAAACCAAGAAGTCTGTGGAGCTACTATCTTACCATCAAGTCAAAAAGATGAAAATCTTCAATTAGTCCCTCAAATAAGATTCTTTAACAATGGACTGTGTTTCCTAAGAACTAGTGGAGGCTGATATGTTGTAAAGTGGCAGATTGATGATGTTCAATATAGAATAAGGCAAATCTTTAGGTAGGCAAGGATTGAGTAAGACCATAGTGTATCATCAGACTATAGCGTCCACATCCTTAGACATCAATATATTTTCCAACAAAATCAACCTCACTCTCAGCAAAACAGGGAGGAGCTCAAATTTTAAAGAGTATCCAGGTTCCCATTTTCATGGAAGACAAACAAGAGACCATGGCTTATTTTCCCTTTCCAGATTTGCCAGGTCCAAGTCAGCAATTATGCTATGCACTTGCTATGCATACATTGTAGTGAACCTGCAGTGGGTTTGGGGAGCAGGTGTAGTTTACAAACAGCTTCATCCTACTATTAGGTAGAATGATGCAGTTGCCCCAGGCTACAGATACTGGAGCAGCAACATGATAACAGAGATAGCTGTATGCCTCACAGCCTGCCCTATGTTTCAGAAGTGAGACTGCTGCTTTCAGAGTTAGTAAAGCAGACTGTTTCATTGCCAGTGTTGAAGAAAAACTCTTTGGTACATGAAATGGGAGAGACTTCCATCTTTTTTTTAGGCAGCAAAATGCCTTAGCCTGGCCTTGTTTATAAACTTCCCTAAAATCCTTGACTTGTTTGACAGTTGCTGGATGATTTGTAACCAAATCCCTCACATTTCTGTGTCAACCATCACAACAATCATGCTCAGCAAGGCTAATTATGCTAGGTGGCTTACAACCAGCACACACACCGTGATCATGCAAACCCAGCCATCATAACTAGGCGCTACTGTAAGCCACTCAGTGAAGAAAATGATGAATGGCCTAGAAATATCCTAAATATATGTATGTATGTATGTTGCTAGTAAGCTTCATACCAGAAAATGCACTAGAGATTCAATGGCAGGCAGAGTTATCTAAATGCTGTCTTAGGTCCATCAGGAATCTATTAGCTTGACAAAGTGCTGAAAGGACACTCAGTTGCAGATGTATCTGGTGGTGAAAGGAAAGCCCGATGCTGTAAAGAGCAATACTGCATAGGAACCTAGAATGTAAGATCCATGAATCAAGGTAAGCTGCATGTGATCAAACATGAGATGACAAGACTGAACATCAACATCTTGGGAATCAGTGAACTAAAATGGATAGGAATGGATGAATTTAATTCAGTTGACTATCATCTATACTACTGTAAGCAACAATCCCTTAGAAGAAATGGAGTAGCCAAAAAAAGTAGGAAAAGCAGTACTGGGATACAATCTGCAAAATGACAGAATGATCTCAGTTTGAATTCCAAGTTAAACCATGCAACAACACAGTAGTCCAAGTCTATGCCCCAACCACCAGTGCCGAAGAGGCTGAAGTTGACTGGTTCTATAAAGACCTAAAACACCTTCTAGAAATAACACCAAAAATGATGCCCTCATCATTATGTGGGATTGGAATGCTAAAGTGGGAAGTCAAAATATAACTGGAATAACAGGCAAGTTTGACCCTGGAATACAAAATGAAGCTGGGAAAGGCTGGCAGAATTTTGTCAAGAGAACACGCTGGACATAGCAAACACTCTTTTCCAACAACACAAGAGACTCCTCTACACATGGACATCACCAGATGGTCAACACCAGAATAAGATTGATTGTGTGCTCTGAAGCTCTGGAGAAGTTCTAAACAGTCAGTAAAAAGAAGACTAGGAGCTGCTTGTTGCAAAATTCAGGTTTAATCATATTCTTGAGGAATATACAGTGACAAATAGATTTAAGGGATTACATCTGATAGACAGAGTGCCTGAAGAACTATGCATGGAGGTTCACAACACTGTAGAGGAGGAAGCAACTAAAACCATCCCAAAGAAAATAAATGCAAGAAAACAAAATGGCTGTCTGAGAAGACTATACAAATAGTTGAGGAAAGAAGGGAAGTGAATGGCAGGGGAGAAAGGGAAAGATACACCCAAATGAATGCAGAATTCCAGAGAATAGCTAGAAGAGATAAGAAGGCCTTCTTAAATTAACAGTGCAAAGAAATAGGGGAAAACAATAGAAGGGAAAGACGAAAGAGTTCTTCAAGAAAATTGAAGATATCAAGGGAATGTTTTTCTTCAGCATGGAGAAGAGAAGTCTCAGAGGGGATCTGTTGGCGATGTACAGGTATGTGAGAGTATGTCACACAGAGGTGGGTAGAAACCTGTTCTCCCCTGCAGAGAAAGGCAGGATGCGCTCCAACAGAGCAAAGCTCAGGGAACCAAGGTTCCATTTAGATGCCAGGAAGCACTTCCTGATAGTTAGGACCCCAAGGGTATGGAATGGGCTTCCACGGGAGGTGGTTGAGGCCCCATAGGTGAGGGTGTTCAAAGACAGGCTAGACATGCACATGGTGGGCATGTCGTCAGCGGAGCCAGCTAGAGCCAGGGGTCAGACTAGATGGCTCGGGAGGCCCCTTCTGACTCGCTATGTTTCTATGTTTTATGCAAAGATGGACATGATAAAGGACAAAAATGGCAGGGACCGAACAGAAGCAGAAGAGATTAAAAAGAGCTGACAAGATTACACAGAACTACGCGAGAAAGATCTTAATGTCCCTGATAACCATGGGGCGGGGGGGGGGGAGTCACTGACCTCGAGCCAAACATCCTGGAGTGTGAAGTCAAATGGACCTTAGGAAGTCTGAGCGACAACAAAGCTAGTGGAGGTGACCAGCGGGGCTAGATAAATCACCTGTTGGAATTAAGATTCGTGGAAGAAATAGCAACAACCTCAGATATGCAGCCGATACCACTCTAATGGCAGAAAGTGAAGAGGAACTAAAGAGCCTCTTGATGCAGGTGGAAGAGGAGAGCGCATAGCTGACTTGAAACTCAACATTAAGAAAACTAAGATCATGGCATCCAGTCCTATCACTTTCTGGCAAATAGATGGGGAAGATATGAAGGTAGTGACAAATTTTATTTTCCTGGACTCCAAGATCACCGCAGACAGTGACTGCAGCCAAGAAATTAAAAGACCCTTGCTCCTGGGGAGGAAAGCTATGGAAAATCTAGACAACATACTAAAAAGCAGAGACATTACCCTACCAACAAAAGTTCATACAGTCAAAGTGATGGTTTTCCCAGTTGTAATGTATGGCTGTGAAAGGTGGACTATAAAGAAGGCTGAGCCCCAATGAATTGAGGCCTTTGAATTGTGGTGCTGGAGAAGACTCCTGTAAGTCCCTTGGACTGCAAAGAGATCAAACCAATCAATCTAAAAGGAAATCAACCTTGACTGCTCTTTAGAAGGTCAGATACTGAAGATGAAACTCACATACTTTGGCCACCTAATGAGAAGGAACAACTCACTGGAGGAGACCCTGATGCTAGGAATGACTGATGGCAAAAGGAGGAGGGGACGGCAGAGGTTGAGGCGGCTAGATGGGGTCACTGGGGCAGTAGGTGTGGGCTTGGGTGGGCTCTAAGGGATGGTGGAGCATGGAGGAATGCTGTCCGTGGGGTCGCGATGGGTCGGGCGCGACTTTGTGACTAAACAACAATAGCTAATATGCTAGAAGACAGATATTGCTAGGCTGGAGCACTGGGCTGAAAACAACAGAATGAAATTCAAGAGGGACAATGCCAAGTTCTCCACCTAGGAAAAAGAAACCAAATCCATTATTACTAGATAGGATATACTTGGCTCAGAAATAGTGCAAGTGGGAAAGATCTTGGAATTGTTGTAGATCACAAGCCAAATATGATTCAAAGCATATGATGTGGCTGCCAAAAG